TATATATATATGTGTGTGTGTATATATATATATATGTATATGTGTGTGTGTATACATGTATATATATATATATATATATATATATATATATATATATATATATATATATATATATATATATATATATATATATATGTGTGTGTGTATACGGAATACGATGGGTAAATTGTCGTACCCATCGTATTTCCGTATATATATATATATATTTACGGAATACAATGGTTATTCCGTATTCCGTATATATATATATATATATATATAATGGACTCTCCGTCGGTTTCGACGTGTGAGGATCAGGCAGAGTATTGATTCAGTTATGAAAGTTTATGCGATAATCTTAAGTGGCATTTAAGATCCGCTAGTGATTTACAAAGGAGGCCACACATGGAGCAAGTATGAGGATTTTGAAATGAGATCACTGTTAGATTGTGTGACCTTTTAGATCTTGCTTTCGCTTCTTGAAGATGATTCAGACAAGCAGATTGAAAATTGCTGAGTCCACTAAAACACGTTGATCTCCATTCTACCCGCTCCAAAGCTAAGCGCTCAAGGGTGTTATGGGGTATATTGACTGCTGACAAGTTGCTTTTCAGCTTGCCTTTGTATCTTACCCATGGGCGTCCTACATTCCTGTAGCCCTGGTCTAACTGGCTGTACATTAGGATCTTGGGTACCCTGTCGTCAGACATTATCAAGACATGACCAGTTCACCGTAACTGAGACTGTATGATAAAATTCTCGATTCCTCCAATATTACACCTGTTAAACAGGTCTACATTATATGTCCTATCTTGAAGCTTAACTCCACAGATTGTCGCAGACAGCTTTTATGGAAAACATCTAGCTGGCGTATATGGTACCTGTATGGAGTCCACGACTCTGAGCCATACAAAAGTATTGCAAGTACAACAGCTTTGTAAACCCGAATTTTCGTCAAATTATATATATATATATATATATATATATATATATATATATATATATATATATATATATATATACGGAATACGATGGGTAAACTCTCGCCATTTCATATTTTAATAAAAAAAACTTCTTAGGAAATTGCCATATATATATATATATATATATATATATATATATATATATATATATATATATATATATATATATCCCAAGAAGTGATTTTTTTTTTAATTATTAATCAGACACGACAGATTTTATTACGTAAACATTATTTTATTGGACACCGATATTTGAGTAGACGTTCCATTTAGTAATTAAACAGTATATGTAGGAAGTGCAGGTTGTATGTGCAATGGATATCGGCTTAGAATTGGAAATTCGAGGGCCGAGTTCGAATTCCAGTCGGCTGCGTTATATAACTTTGGCAATATCTTTCCCTTCCAGCATGTATTGAATAGCCGGGCAGAATGGGAACTCTAGTTCTGGTTGACAACCAATCTACCGCCAAAGAAACGGCAACCTACTTCTTGAAAATCATTTGCCTGTTCCGAATCGAAAGCATGTATTACATATGGCGCTTAACTGTCTGATATTTAGTCGTGAAATCTTAGTAAAGGAAAATATGCACTTTCAGGCAGGATTCGAAACTGCAAGGAGAAACAGGCGTTAGAGCTGGCGATTATCATGCAAAGTTGAATAGAGTCTTATAAACTCAAATCTTATCTAGATTTCTAGAATATACATATTTCATCTGTTTCGTATCCTAACGTAAACAAAGCACTTTCTAAAGAAGTGGTGGATTTTTATTTATTAATCCGACTGGTTTTATTTGATATTATCACACACACACACACATACACACACACATATATATATATATATATATATAGAGAGAGAGAGAGAGAGAGAGAGAGAGATTTTCCAAGTGTAGCTTAGATGTGGCACAAGGCCGAAAGTATGGGACACCCATTGAGGATCAAACTCACTATTCGAACTCACTATTCAGTCGTAATTGTTCTAGCAAGACAAGCTTGCTAACCATTACACCACACAGAGGTGCCTAAGTAAACGCAATTTTACTTTTCTTCGCCGCATCTCTCTCCCACACCTCGTCTTTCTCACCCTCTTATTCTAACATTAGATTGTCTATGGTGTGTGTATGTCACCACGAAATGTATCTTTATGCATTAGACATCCGACAACATTCATTTTTCTCTTACTTAAACCCCTTCCACACACCTCTCCTAAAATTCTCTCTGTTAAGGTTTGATCTCCCTCCACCTCATACTGACACTCCCTCTAAATTCTGTTTTTATTTCCGGAGTTGGTTTTTCTGTTTTCTTTTTGAATTAGTTGGTCTGATGAATTGGATCGTATTTACGATTTCAATGGAATAAATTATGACCATGGAAAATTAGTGTTTAAGCCTTTTTATTATATCCTTACTCTGTCCTGGACATTGAGTTCTACCTGGATTCTTCCTCTTGGAATTTTTATTAAAAAAATATACATGTATGGGCATTTATATATTTTGCATATGTATGTATATTTACCACTAATATTATCTCTCTCTCTCTCTCTCTATATATATATATATATATATATATATATATATATATATATATATATATATATATGTATAAATATGTATTTTAAATCTGTTCAATATCTGTTACAGAAGGTTTATGAGAAATATTGCTTCATATATATATATATATATATATATATATATATATATATATATATATACCGAGCTGCTAAAATCAGGATTGATGATTGGGTTTAAGCATGAAACATACTGTCGCCGCTAGCTGTTGTCCTCAATGTCCATATATTTTTATATTCAAGTACGCTCTATCGCTGATATTGAGCACTTTGACACACAAGTATATCACGCCTATTTAAATATATTTTATAACGTTATATATATATATATATATATATATATATATATAAAAACAAAACTGTCTTTTAACAAAAACATCAGTGTAATTTTCGAAGATAATTTTAAGGAAAATAATTGTTTTCGAAATTTTTTGCATGTATGTGTGTGTATTTGTGCGTGCGTCTTTGTGCATGCCTCTATCAAATTATAAGAAATCCAAATCTGTTTCACACTAACATATCAGCTGCTTATTCCCGTCATTGCTGACATTTCAGGCTGATTGGGAGAAAATCATAAAAATGTCACGATGTATATATCAATTAGTTACACTACCCACGACGCCACAAACCTTCATGTTAATTCATAGTATAATTACGTATTTTCCTTCAATGAAGTTCGAAGTCTCACAAGTATTTTTCTGGTTCATGCATTTCCCATCCTAACATCATATTGCTTATTTAATTTTTTCCGCTACTTAAATATTATTATTGCTACGCTTATTGTTGAGAATATAAAAAAGTTAAATTTTATTACTGTGTGCACCAGCTCGTTTAATATTACTTGTTAAACATTTATTGACAAATGTATTATTTCAATTACTTCCATGGCATTGCTTTTTAAGAGACCCATTTTGTACATAATTGCTTCGATCGTTCGATCAGCACAACATGCAAAGGCTTTGATAGCATAAGGGAGCTATACGCTTCCGCTCTTATACACGTCACATCCGGTGACTGCGCCCTGCTGTTCTTGAAATTGCTCTCTTCTGACCTATGCTCTGAACCCATGACCTTCCAATAATTCCATTGAACTAGTCACCACTGGAAAATCACATCCATTGCCTTTTCTCTTTCCTTGCTTTTCCGATCAATTAATCCGAAAGGATATTATTTTCTTTGGTCGGTCTGCTGACAAAAACATCTAAGAAGAGTATGTCGGAAAAAGAAAACGGAATTCAGAAACAAAACATACATACGATGAAGGCTGAATATTAAAACAGTTTCCTAAAATAAAAATGGCGCATTGTGATTTGGATAAATTATAATCACAGAAGTAATGTTTGATTTAGAAAGAAAATATTGTTACTTCAAAAGTATTCAGCATAAAAACAAATGACGTTGAATCATTGGTTATCGTACAATCACCGAAGTTAAGCAACGTCGTGTCTGGTCAGTACCCAAATTGAGAATTACAGATGTATGGAAGTGCGGGTGGTGTAATGGATAACAGCTCAAAATTGGAATTTCAATTCCATTTCCTTATATTCATTTATACGCAATTAGCTTTGGGAAATGTATGAATCCACCTACTCTAACCTCCAGCTATTGGTTAGTAAGTCTTCTATCAGTAAATCATTGTTATCCGTCTAAAAATATTCCTACAATGTGGCTTTATATAACCAGCCATTGATAAGCTGTAGAAAAAGAATAAATGAATCAATCAAAGATGTTTCATAATTAAAATTCTGTTTTTATTATTTATTAAACCTGGACAGATTTTAAATGTGAATTAAATTTAAGTGTCCAATGACTTTTTTCTTTTTCTTTCAGGTTCGGCAGACACTTAAACGATATTATTTTTCACATAATTGCCATGACTTAAATAATATGATCCAATAGAAAAATAAATAAATTTTCACCAATAACACTGATTTATTTATTGCTGACTTTGATCCGTCTTAATGAAACACCCTTATATATAATTTGTCTTAATGAAACAATGCTTTATATTTTCCATTCAATCTATCTAATAGAAAATTGCATTTATTCTTGAATTAGTAACATTCCTGCCTTACTCTCATACTAGCGTCGATATTACACGGACCCAATCTCTCTTAGTGCACTTAGGAAGGCGCTGCTACAGGTTTGAATTCGCAAGACCGGGCACTTCCTTTCTTCTCAAATGAGAACAGATAGTACGCTTTGATCCCAGCCAAAAGGCCGAGAATCACAATAGAAAGCTTCCCATTGTGCATTTTTGCCTATTTTTTAGATAATTTTTTCAAAACATCTTTTGTAATATATAAATGGTGCTCTCTTTTTTCTCTTCCAAAAGTCAACTTACAAAATTTTATCAGTATCCCAGAATAATGTCAAAATTATCTCCCCTTCTAACTGGCTTGCTTTTAGTTTCACTGTACACTTTCCGTTTGATAACCGTTGCTTTAACTAAACTTTGTCTTCATAGTGTTATGGTAAAGCCGAATCAAATTGAGTCAACATCATCATCCTCGTTCCCAATGATAGGGTATGGTTGTAGAGTCGCTGTACAACTAAGCTCCTGCTCAGTTTCTTCCACAAATCGAGGTTGAAAGCTGAAGCGTGTCTTGAGCAAGTAAACGGGACGGAGACCAACCCACTCCATGTCAAACCACTATCTGTCTTCCAACACGAAAACTCGCCTTCGTAATAAGTACATAGCAGTTGAATCGATCGGGAAGGAACCTCTGCCCTGGGTATTGACTTCAATCTTATGAAGCCCGTCTCGCAGCTATGCCATGTCATCATTGACCTGGCTGTGTACATAGTTATGAAGCCGATTAATTTATTGTGCTAGATGGCCGTTGACTCTAGAAGGCCGTTGACTGTAGGAGGCCGTTGATCCACCATTTTACAGGTTACCCTGCTCTTCAAAAAAGCCTGGTACAGGAAACGGTTTAGTCGCCGATGAACACCTGAGATACTGATTATATTAGGTATTATTTCTGCTCTTAACGGTTGGACTCTTTCAATTATATCGCGAACAATTTCGATTTTTATTCAGTCAAACTGCTTTTTGATGGTCTGCCAAAACGTTCGACATCTTTAACCACGTCTTGTCCTTCTTATCCATTTGTAAATTGCTGATATTTTTCGGGAAATTAACTCCAAAAGCTCTTCGCAATTCACCCAATATCGTTCTATGTCTAACAACCAAGTTTTCTAATAAATTTAATGTTTGCTCTTGCTTCAATTTTGACAGAATTCATGCTGCTCCCAAGCCGGTTCTCATATAAATTGTCGTAAACGTCAGTTTGTTACATCGGAAGACTTCTTGTTCATCGAGGTTAAAACAGGCAACTCTATGTTTACTGCTAATTATTATCATCATCATCTTCTCCACCTCCTCCTCTGTCTACTTCTCCTCCCCTCTTCCTCCTCCTATTTCTTCTCTTTCTTTTTCGTCATCGTCATCTTCGTCTTCTAGTCTTTCTTCTTCTTCTCCGCCTCCTCCCCTCCTTCTTCTTTTTCTTTATCTTCTCCTCCTTCCCTCTTCTTCTCCTCCTCCTCCTCCCTTCTTTCTTTCTTTCTTTCTTTCTTTCTTTTTTTCTTTCTTCTTCTTCTTCACACTGTTTTCTTTCCCAGTAGATGTATTGTTTTTATTGAATTTTATTTTAATTTATGATTATCTATATATCTTGTTTTTTTTTTTATTTTTTTTTTAAATAGAATTTTACCCAGACAGGCAGTAAAGTCGCTAAAACCCAAGTATTTACTTGCTATTAAAGAATTAGAAAACAAGCATTATTTTAGGAACGACAGCTGAAAAAGGGTAATCGGATGGACAGTAGATAGCAATTGACATTGCATTTAATTTTTTTTTTAAATCCAAGTTAGATAGCAAGAAGACTGAAGAGAGTTCGACAAACGAGAAGTGCGAGAAAAAACTTTTGGCACAGAACTTACGATTACGTCTCGTCAATTCAACTGTAAATTGATGAGAGATCGATGCCAGTCTGGTACTGTACTTAAATTTATAAAGCCAAGGTATCATAGCATAGAGCCCACTCGAACAATTTCTATGAAAGTATTAATGGGAAAGACACAGTGGGGGCAACATAACGGCGATGGGAAAGTGACTGAAGCCGAGATGCCATGTCAGGACCAGTAATATTGCCGATTCTTCTTCGGATTTTATCAAAAATCTCTAAATATTTATCTCAAGAACCGGACCATATATGGCAGCAATATTCTAAGCATGGACAAATGGTAGACTTATAGATATGTAAGATAGATTCTGAAGAATAAATTGTTTAGTGCGACATTTTTAGCTGCTGACCGAGCAAAAGATTCAATATAGTTTTCCACTTCATGTCAGCTGAGAATGATATCCCGAGAAGGCAGAGTTAGTCACTTCCCTGGAGGTTAGCATCGAAGGCATAAAAGGATCTGTCAGATGATTAATAGAGTGCAGTTTTTGTTTTGGAGGTGCTAAAATTAACAAGTCATTCTTTGCACCGTATATCGTTTTTAAAGTCTGCTGCCAATTTGACTTCCTCGAACTGATCAGACTTACTGTCGAGACGAATATATATATATATATATATAGTTGTGTGAGTGTGTGTGAAGATATACAGAAAGTAGGAAAGAACTCGTTAGGTAAATAATCCAAGGTTCTTTAGTATTTTTGTTATTACTTTTAAAAAACAGTGCTCGATAGAAAAGTAGACTCTAAATATAATAATAACATACATATATATATATATATATATAATAAAAAGGCTTGCCTTTTTATTATATCCTTACTCTGTCCTGGACATTGAGTTCTACCTGGATTCTATCCTCTCGGAAGTTTTTATTAAAAAAATATACATATATGTGTATGCACCTATGTATATATATATCTATATATTTTGCATATGTATGTGTATATATATATATATATATATATATATATATATATATATATATATATATATATATATATATATATATATATTAGGGAGCATTTCTGGAGCATTTTGATTTTTCTGGAACCATCTAGAATTTTGTAGGATCTAGTACTTCTTGGAACATTCTAGAACTTGTTGTATGTGAAGCTACTGTTATAAACTGTTAAATGCGTTAAAATTCTTAAGTACTATCCAGTGACATCACTATAAAATTGAAAAATAAAGTTTCTGCATGTATGCAATTTTTGTTTATTTGTAAAGTTTTCTTCTCTCCTACAACTATAAACTATGAAATGTGTTAAAATACATTTGTAATATCCAATTATATCATTAGCAAACTAAAAAATAAATCTTCCGAAGTATTTCGATTTTTTACCCTTACTCTTCTTTTTGATAAGTCGGTCATCTTTTTCAAAACCTAAAACAAATTAATACCTTTTTCATTATTTTGGAACAAAAGTTCATCGATGTATGGACACGGAAACATAGGGTTACAAAACAGTCATAACCCTTATTAAAGACTACAGATACCAAAAAAGACAAAATTTATTGAGCTACAAAGAACAGGAAATTGTGGAGAACCATGATCGTCAACCTCCTGAAGAGGCATGGAACAAAGAATGAGAAGATGTTCCTGATTATTAGATTTAGTGATGATCTATAAGTGATGAAAATAGAAATTCATCTGTCCAGGAGAAATATTTGATTTCTTCTTATTTATTCCTTCAAATCTATAACTTTAAAACATTTTATATCTTTATAAAAGTGTCTATTTTCGGATGAAGAAAAGGACAAGTGAATTGCTGTAATTTTAGAAATTCCATATTTCTGTTACTTTTCCCATTAATGTTTTTCATTTCCTCAGTCTGACATTCATTTGTATCGCGCTTGAAAATAAATTCTTGCTAGGAAATCTGACAAAAGATTATTTATTTTTACACTTTATTATTATTATTATTATTATTATTATTATTATTATTATTCGGGAAACTTAATCCACATCTACTTTCAATAGCAGTACTCTTTTTTAGACCAAAAATATATCGTGAAAATCAATCAAAACTTAGTAAGAACAAAAAGAAACTACACGATTTTCGATAAAATACTCAACACTTTTTTTTATCTGCAAAACAATTCGGATTACGCTTTTATATTGTGTTCCTAGTTTCAAATTCTAATTGGACTGCTGTTTGCGTCGGAATCTGGTTCCAACATGCCACAAGTATAGCGCAATCAGAGATAATATAATCCTAAATTTTATTCTGAATACATCTACAGAAATGGTATCATAATATTTTCCACTGATCATTTTTCGTAAAAATAAAAATTTAACTAAGATCACACACATTTTACAGAGATAAAGCTCTTCGTAATATGTACGTTGGAATTGTGGGTACATTTTTTTTTTCTATTTCCTTAAGGCATGGTCTACCAGGAATTCCTTAAATGAGTCTATCGGAACCTTTTCCAATTAATCTGAGGGTTCCATCTACAACAGGAATTACTGATGTCCTCAAGTCCCAAGATTTCTACACCAGGGTCCTTGTATTTTGAGAGTTTTCTGAATATCTTCAAAGACAATCTTCAAAGACAATCTGCAGCAACTGCCAGGTCAATAAGAAAACACATTCTGTTTTTGTGGTTTTTTGATCACGATGTCTGGGCGATTAGATTGATTGTTCTGTCTGTGTGTATTGTAAAGTCCCATAAAATTGTATACAGTTATTATCTCTGTATTATTATTATTATTATTATTATTATTATTACGTTCTTTTGTTTAGTACAGTTCCTTACTGAGTCATTGTCTGTAGTCTGGGGTAAAGGAAGGAATTGAATACATGCATTCTCTTTGAGCAAATTCCGATGTTAAGTGTATCTAAACATATATATATTTTTTTTCCTATGAAAGTAATCTGAACAGGTAAGCAATTACACAGAGGACAGTTTTTGTTTTTTTTTTTTTGTTTTTTTTTTTAATCTATTCTAAAAAGAATTTGCCAGGGATTTTGTTAATACTTTTTTTCTGTAGTATTTTTTTTAATACTACCAGGAGTATCACTTGATACATACATAACAGTAATTTTTCTCGATATGAATATTTTTTATATTTACTTATATTCTTTAACATAAACAGGGGTAAGAAAAAATTAGCACACTATAGGGGTTAATGTCGAAGAGGTCTTGTTGAGTGGCCGTCTAGGTCACCAGAACTTAAACCCTTGGAATTTTCAGTGGGGCCATTTGAAATCCCTTTGTTTATCAGACGCCCTGAAGAAATAGTGAGGAACTTAAAGAAATAATTAAATATGAATACATTAAAATAACAGCGGAAATTTTCTAACGTCTTAATGGATCATGCAGGCACAGAATTGAAATGCGTTTTAAAAATGGACGATATTTTGAACAGCACATAATAACAATTAAATAACTAGTAAAATTGTTACGTGTAATTATACTTACAATAAATTATACCTATGAGGCGCGATTTTTGCCTCGCCTTGTATATACTCTGGTTGGACGAATATATCTATATGAACCCATTTTTTTTGTTTGTTGTTCTTAATCACTATATCTGGTCTATCAGCTTTTAGATGTCTGCCAGTGTAAGTGGTAAAGTCCCAAACAATAATGAGTTCATGGCCTTCTATGACAGCTTCAGAATGATTTGCATCCCATTCTTCAGAATTTGGCACTAGACAATATTGACATATCTTCCAATAATCAGAACGCCCAGTTTTATCATGTCGATCTTCGGCGCCATGATTGGGCAACCACACTACAAGTGGTCAATAGTCTCAATATGTTCAAATAATTAACATATTGAGTGTGCACCGTTATTACGTCCGCCTGACAATTCCTGGTGAATAGGCTTTGATCTTGTACAGGCATTACAAATGCCTCTGTTTCTGCCTTTAGCTCGGCACTATTCAGGCACGTATAGAGATTTATATTTACATTATTCGGACTATTGTCCTCATTTTTGTCGCCATATTTATTACAACGTATTCGGCCGTTGTACGCTCCGGCTTTCTTCAGGTGGTTGGAATGTCGAACTGAACCCTTTATTTCGCTCACTGGGATAGACTGTTCTAGTTTCACGTGTCATGTCTAATGGATGTCAGTTATCAGTTATCTCCTGTTAATTTCCCTCTGAAAGTTCTCCTCTGCCTTAACCGGGTATTGAACTCACACTCTTTGGGTCCGGTCACTGGATCTAACTAACGCCTTTATCCACTGTGCCGTGTGTCCTTGAGGATACATGGCACAGGGGATAAAGAACTGTCTACCCCAGTTTGCGGAATAAAGGGCCCAGTTCGACATTCCAACACCCTGAAGAACGCCGGAACATACAACGGCCGAAACGTTGTAATAAATATGGCGACAAACATGAGGACAATAGTCTGAATAATGTAAATAGTGTACATAATACCTCATCTCAGAAATATAGACATATATTTATATTTATCTATAGTATGGGTTTTGTTATTTTAGCCGCATCTGTTGCTTAAATAAGGCAATAAAGCCAATAAGATGTTAAATGTTACTGAGTGTTAGACAGTATAAAAAAGAAAAATACTATTAAGGAGAGAGAAAGGACAAGTATTAGGAAGTAAGAAAATAACGATTGACATTAAATTTAAATTTTTGAAGATCAAAGTTGATAAGGAAGCAAGAACCCTAGATAGATTTCA